GACCCTAGTGAGGATTAAGCAGTGTATAGATGATGGATGGATGGATGTCTGCAGGATCATCACAACAGCCTGGTCATTCACACTTCAGCATGTGTGCAGCTGCATTATTAACATAATTTCCTGCGTTTCCTGTCAGTGACGCATGGGTTTTCTCTTGAGTGTCTGATATGAAAACTGTGACTCATCCTGAAACAAAGCGCTGCTGTGGAGAATGAACACAAAACTCATCATCGCCTCTAATGTGGTTTCACACTCGACTTCAGTCTGAACTGAATCAATTAGAATGATTGTTTTCAAGTTTAGATAATCTAACTTGAATTATGAAATTATGTATGAAGAACCCTGAATAATCCATCAAAAACTCACCTTCACCTACATTCAAAGTCAAACTGAAACGTTGTATCTGCTAAGACGAAAATATCCTCAGTGTTAGTGTCTATTTGGTTGTGTTGGTTTTTGTTCCTTGAATTTCAGTTTAACTATAATTTATAAAGAATTATTATGTCGCTTGATTTCCAAGTGGACAATGAACAGATGTAAGGCTGATGTTGAGACATTCTGGAGGTAATTTAATGTCTGTCATGTCAGGCAAACTCAGTTTATGTACACTGCTAAAGAAAAAAAAAGAAATCAGATTAAAAAAAAAAGAACAAAGAAATCCAGCGGCAAGGGTGCCAGAAAAAATAAAGAAAAATGGTTTTAAAAAACCCTGTAACATTCAAAAACTGGGAAAATAACGGCAAATATGTTTTTCAGATTGAAATTCAGTACAAAAGGGGGAAAAAAAGTGTAATGTTAAGATCGCAGATCGTTAAGGAATAAATTACTATTTGGAAAAATGCATACTTTTGATCTGAATATTATTTGACTGGATTTTTTTTCCTTTGCGGTAAACGTGTGAATTGATACATATTTTTTGTGTTATTTTAACTGATGTTATCTGTAACTTTGCAAAACAGAAGGGAAAATCTGTCACATAACAGTTAAAGTTTTATTTATATATTTTCTGTCTTATTTTTTTTTCTTTTAAACTTATGAGAAATAACTGTAAAAGTAACTTTTCTGATTTAATTAAAGTAAAATACTGTGTGATTCTACAGTCCAACATCAGAAAAGAACAAGCTTTATACACCTTTATTTTATTTTATTTTATTTTATTTTACAGAGCATTTTTAATATGGACATTGTTAACAGTTCTGTCCTGTTTTGTTTAGTTTTTTATTTTATTTTTAGGATTAACATGTAAATGAATACTTTCCTTTCATGATTTCATTAGTTGTTGTTTTTTTTGGGTTTTTTTAACTGTAATTTACCAAAGCAAAAAAACAAAAAACAAAAAAAAAAGCAACTGAAAAATAAAGTTAATTGTTCCAAAAAATCACAGCTATTTTACTGTTTAGGGTCCTGGTAGGGACACCCAAACATTTTCTTTCTTTCTACCCATATTTTATTTTTCAAATGTGTTTTTTTATAAACAGGTCAAAGTCACTCAAAAGTGATCCATTATCTATAACCAGTCTTATGGGAATCAAACTCACCAGACAGCACTGAAGTTTGTAACAGCAGCTGAAGTTCACTTGGATTCACAGCGGACAAATTAAACAGACATGAAAACGGCAAACAAAAGACGAGAGATGAACATGATGGTGGAAGTAAAGTCTGCTCTGAAGATGAATGAACGGATGAACATGACAATTTAAACACAAACGGTCGATCAAACAGTGTTTTATCTCAACTGAATTAACTGATGACACATAAACCTCTTTGTTTCTGCCTGAACTCTGCTGCTAATCGACCAAAAAGGTAAAATGTGGCACAACGTGAGTCATCGGTGACGAAGTTTCTCTTCTTTTTGCAATAACTTTATGTATCTGCGTTGTCTTAGAAATGCATCTGTCTTCTAAAACTTTACACCGGGACTTTTAGCGTAGTCGAAATATCTAAAAAGTGGAACATTTGGTCATACTGACACATCAGATTTTACTGATGGCAGAAGCCTTAAAAATTTCAGTTCATTTTATTTACATTTTGAGTCATTTTGCCAGTTTTTAAGTCAAACTAGTTAAAAAATGGAATCTTGTCTTGAAACACCTTCTATGTATTAAATTCTAGTGATGTTAGAGGACTCAAAAGTTGGTGAAATGTTGACCAAAAACTGTGTTTTTAGGAGGAAATATGGATACATCCATATATGTACACACACTTAGAGGAACTTTCTGGGAACACAATACCACTCAGTTTAAAAAACATTTCTTATTTTTTTTCTATTTTCAAAGGTCAAAAATTAAAAATGTGTCCTTTGCTGGACCAATATCATCATTTAAATCTGCTGAAAACTATTCTGTCTGTATCCTGCGAAGTTTCATGGATGTGGGAGTTTTATTTCTGAGGATAATAAGCCCTTAAAATGGCTTTTCAATGGTTTTTTTTGCCTTTATTTGACAGGACAGTCGAGAGAGAGACAGGAAAGTGGGGAGAAGAATGGGGGAGGGACCTGCAGCAAATGGCCATGAGCTGGATTCAAACCCATGACCGCCGCGTCGGGGACTACAGCCCCAGTACACGGGTCGCCAGCTCAACCAGTTGAGCTATTGCTGCGGCTCGTTCTTGTTTTTTTGAAGGCAAAAATATTTTTTAAAAAATCCAGCTTTGAAAACATCTGAAATTCTTAAATCTCAGCCAAAATATTTTGCAGAACTTAGTGTTGGGTCCCAAACTATGAACAAACATGAAACTCGGCAACATGAACACATTCAGTGTACAAAACTGAACTCCAGAGTCAGTCATAAAGTGATATTTATTAAAACAACTTAAACAAACCATCAGAAGTTGCAGCTCTGTAACATCTTTGGCTAAAAAAACAAAACACCTTTGGGTATTTAAATGTTACGTCATGACGCTAAACTGCTATAAATGTGAAGGTAACAGGAAGTCTGTCGAGGCACGTTGTGACTAAAACTGCATTCAGAGTACAGATTTACATCCAACATCAGAATTCTTAGTGCCTGTGCGAATGCTTGTAGCAAAGAGTAATTCAGAGAGAAAACAGCACATGAAGGGTAATAAACATGAGACAAACTGCATTTGTAATCCCAAAAGACCAACATTTTAAGTGTCTGAAAGTTAAAGGATTATGCAATTAGTTGAATACGGCAGGTAAATATGCTGTAACATGTAAGAGATGGAAAAAAAATCTCAAATATATGAAAAAATATATTTGAAGGCTTCTGTCTAACCGTCCGCATGAAAAGCAGATTTGTTTCCCACGTTGCAATTCTTGATTTTAATCCAGCAAACAAAGAAAAAGAACATATTTTTTAAAATTAGAAATAGCTTCTGATCCATGTGATTAGAGAAGTCTTAGAGGATGGGAAGTCTTCCCAAGATGGGAACTGATTTGTCCACAACCTAAAAATGGTTAATTTAGAGAAAAGACACCTGAAATTTTTCACATTTGAGAAGCTGAAATAAACAGAATTGTTTTTAAAAAGTAAAAGAATTACTCAAACTTACTAACTGATAATCAAAATAGTTGGTGATAAATTTAACAGTTGTCATTGCAGCTCCACCCTACAGTGTGTCTACACTATTACTTAAAAATCTATGGTGTTTTTGTTAGAATTAACACAGTATAACTAAACTGAATATTGATGTTTTTTTACGCCCTTGTTGCAGAGGATAAAACAGCCAGTTGTTTTTGTCTGATTCCTGTAAGCGTGGTTCAGGCATTATCATCCTGTTATTGTGAAATCTGAACGTGACAGAAACGTCTCCAGGATCCATCAAAAGTGTTGATGAATTTGCCAGTTTTACATCACACATAAAAACGTTTCACTTCTCAGTCGTGTGGCTCTTCATGTGAAGCCTGACATAAGTCTTTCGATGGAAGCCTTTCCCGCAGACCTCGCAGCGGTGTGGTTTCTCCCCAGTGTGGGTGCTGCTGTGCTGCTTCAAACTTGTGTGGTCGCTAAATGAGCGGCCACAGACGTTGCAGAGATATGGTTTCTCTCCAGTGTGCGTCCGGATGTGTCTTGTCATGTTATGTCGGCAGTTGAAGGACTTCCCACACTCGCTGCAAAGAAATGGTTTCTCCCCCGTGTGGACCCTCATGTGCATCTCCAGGTTGCCCTGACTGTCAAAGCACTTGCCACACACTTCGCACACTTTCCCGTTCTTGTGAGTTTTCAGGTGAAGCTTTAAATTTTCCTCGGAGTCGAAATGCGTCCCACAAACGCCGCAGAGGTCTGTGGCGTGACTTTTGGCGTGATTCACCAGAGAAACCAGGGAGTGGAACATTTTCCCACACACTTCGCACATGGTCCGAGGCTGCGGCTTTTTCGACGTTGACACCTTGATCTTCTTGTCGTCGTCGTCGTCGTTGTCGTTTTCATTTGTGTTGCTCGAGTTGTGGTTGTTCTTACGGATGTGAACCATCAGGTGTCGCTTCAGGGTGGAGTAGTCGTTGAAGGTCTTTCCACAGACAGTGCAGGTGTACGGTCTCTCCCCGGTGTGGATCCGGATGTGTCGCATCATGTTGTGACGACAATTGAAGGACTTCCCGCACTCGCTGCAGTTAAACGGTTTCTCTCCGGTGTGGATCCTCATGTGTGTCTCCAGAGAACTTGAGCCGCCAAAACATTTCCCACACAAGCTGCAGACCTCTGCTTTCACATGCGTCTTTAAGTGAACCCTGAAGCCCTCCTCGCTGTCGAAGCGTTCGCCACAGACGCCGCAGACGTCTTTGGAGTGAACCTCCATGTGGTTCACCAGAGAGACGATGGCGTGGAAGGCTTTACCGCACACTTTACAGCTGGTCCGGGATTTGTTCTTCTTGTGCAGGAGCAGCTTCGGGGCCATCGGCAGGCGAGGACCCGTCTTCTTCTTCGTCTTATCCCACTTGCTGTCGCTGTCATCGCTCTGGGAGTCCATGCTGGCCCGCCACTCCTCGTCGCTGTTGGCTGCAGAAGAGCTGGAGGAGGCGGCATCGTCATCGTCACCACCGGCCTTCTCCTGGTCCTGCTCGGCTGAGGTGCTCGGCAGAGGTTCTCCTCCGTCGCCTTTAGCGTTTGGAGAGCTGGACTGGTGCGTGAAGATGAACCGGATGGTGCTGTCCTCCTCCAGCTCCTGCAGATCCTCCTGGTTCTTCTGAGGAGCTGCCCGCTGGTCCTGGTCCAGACTGGAGCTCCACTCCTGGTGCTGAACAGAGGGAAAGTCCTCATCCCAAACCGACAGAGCCAGCTGAGGTTGCTCTGGTGGAAAAACAACCAGAAAACAGCAAACAGGGTTTAATAAAGATAAACAAAAAACGATTATATTTTTTAGATATTTCAGTGAAGTCTGGCGTCGCGACAGCATCAACGCATCGCTGCTGATGGAAACTAGACACAATAAAAGTTCATTATTATTTATATGTAGAGCAGTTTGTTGAATAACTTATATGCCGAATGCAAAAGTACATTTTTGTTATCCTGAAGATGTTTAAAATCTTCGCCTGTCAGGTTCTAATATGCAAACATAAAATATAGCATTTGTAGGTAATTTAAAAGACTTTAGCCACTCTAAACAACCGCCTTCCATAGTGACCAGATACAATAAAAGTTTATTTATATCTAAAAACACACTAGTTTGAAGAATCATTTATATGCCGAATGTTAAAGTACACTTTTTTAATCCAAAATATGTTTTCAAATCTTAACCTGTCAGGTTTTTAGCTGCGCAGATATCAAGCAAACATTGCATTTTTAAACGAGTCAATGGAGTTTGGCGTCTCGACAACGCTGATACAAGTTTATTTTTATGTAAAAGTACAACAGTTCGGTGAATCAGTTATATGCCGAATGTTAAAGTACACATATTAAATTCAAAATATGTTTTAAATGGTTGCCTGTAAAGTTTAAATTTGGTCAGATATTAAGAGAACTTTTAGATGATTCAATGGAGTTTAGCGTCTAGACAGCCGCCTTAGTTAATGACCAAGCTCAGTGAATTCATCTTTATCTAAAACTACAGAAGTTTGGAGAATCTTTTGTACGCCGAATGTAAAAGCAGACTTTAGTAATTAAGAATAAATCTTACATGTTGGCCTATCAGGTGTGTGGTTGTGCAGATAAACGAGCAAAACTTGTATTTTGAGATGTTTCAATGGGGTCTGGTGTTTTGAAGCAGCGTGTTCCAGAGGGGCCTGGCTAATATAAGGGGCGTGTTATCCAGAAAACGAGCTTTAGCTGCAGAATTAGCCGCCGGATTATTTCGGATTTCTTTTTTATTGTTATTAAACAAACCAGGGGACCAAGCTAGGCTAGCTTAACCAGCTACATGTGTCACCCAGGGGAGGTAGGCGTTGACGGGACTCGTGGTGGTTCCAGGACATAGTCGGAGCCGGACACGGTGAAACGCTGCAGCTCACACACCTGACACTTTGTCGGCGTGGACTTCAGCCTTCAGCTCGGTCCGCAGCATCCCGCGCTGCCGCCGGAGCTCCCGTCTGGACAGCAGCAGCTCCTCCTCGTAGCCCGCGATGGTCTTCTTCACCGCCTCGAAGATCTCCTCCGCCGCCGCCGACAGCCGCTCGTTGACCAGGACCCGGAGCAGCTGGATGCTGGACATGATGGGAGCTGAGACACCAGCAGAGACGCACTGAAATCCGCCTTTTTTGTTGTTTTAGATGCTGTTCCGGTAAAAACCGCAGCACACCGTGCAGCAGATAGCTCCTGTCAAGTTCCTGATTTTACTTACCGGACATTTCCGGTTAGAGGCTATTTTTTTCCTACAATAAAAGCTTAACGTGGAAATTAAAAACTGATATTTTGCATTAAGCCAAATAACTAATCAGTTGTTATCTAAATTATTTAAAGCATTACTACTCAAATATTCTATTTCGGTACACATTTGAGGTACTTGTACATGAGTATTTCCTTTTTTCTTACGCTTTTCTTCCTCAGCAACATTCAGGGAACCTTCACTGAAAGAAAAAAGAAAAAGATTCAAACTCCAAAAATGAAGCAGTTACAACATTTAAATTATGCATAAACATTATTACTAATAATAATCTAATATGTAATTTTAGTTTCACTTTTACAACTTTTAAATTGTGTTTAAAATGTTTGAATATTTTTTTTTTTAAATTTCAACTTCTTGCTGTAGCTTTTAACGAGTATTTTTTACAGTCCAGTGATATTACTTTTACTTAAAGCATCTAAACTTCATCCACAAAGCTGCAACTTTGCCTCCATAAACACTTCACTATCATACAGCTACTTTTAGATTTTACATTTTCAAAAAAATTCTAAAAATCATAATAACATTTTGTTGTCACATTTTAGTGAGTTTAAAGTCATTTAAAATTAAACCTACAACACACAAAATGGCCAAAAGATAAATTCACTGTATATAAAACCTTTGTGATAGTACTGTAAATTTGTAACAACTGTTAATCCACTTATAAAATATTCTCATTTTGTTTATGTTTTTACATGTTTTTGTAGACTATTATCTGTTAAATAACAGAAGATAATTGTTCATGGCTTGTTGTTCGTCTCTGTGTTTGATTTACTACAGTTTAAATTTCTACTAAATTTCTAGCTCCTTTGTTGTTTAAAGGGAAAACCAAAAATGTGAAGGACTGTAAACTAAAGTAAAGATGTTGAGAAAAAAACATTTTTGATGGATAAAATATTTCAACAATCAAATAAGTCTAAAAAATAAAGAAGAAAAAAAGGTACAAAACTCACAAAATAAAAAAGATAAGAATCCACATATACACGCAATAAAATAATTGTTTAAACTTAAATTCTCTAATTTAAAATCACATCAAAGTAGAGTTTTCCCATAAATCAAACAGTATGTGTTTTTAAAAGCATATTCTAATATTCTTTAAGACTTATTGTGAAATTCTAATAAAGCTGAACCTTAAAGTTCCAAAATTTTGGTCAAAGCTGACCTCAGAACATACAAAAAATAAAAAATAAAAACCTAAAATAAGATGATTTTAATGCAACAACATCATAGCTGTTGTCTGTATGTCTGTTGGTTGATTTTCAAAATAAAGCCAGCAGATGGCAGTCTGCTCTAATAAACCACAGAGTCCATAAAAACAGGGACTGATTTACAGTCACAGATGTGTTTTATACATGTGAAATAAAAAACAATTTACTTTTTTTTAGTTTTAGTTTTAGTTAGAGTTTTAGTTTTTAAATCAAAATCAAATCATGAAACATATCGACTCCAACATTCAATGTTTTTATTGTGAAAAAGTCTCTTCATACACGTCGCCTTGAACTGTACAATCAATAATTTAAAAAAACAAAAAAAAGGAAAATGTTCAGGTTGGTGTTTGAAGAATAACGTCGCTCTCACACTCACACGAACTCACACACTCGCTTCAGCCAACAAACAACAATAGTGTTTTACAGGTTTTCCTTTTTGTCTGTTACACAAACCGACCGGCGATCTCAGAGGGCAGCCCTGCCGGGGTCCTGAGTCCAAGCTTCCCACAATCCTCTGCAAACAGCCTTTAATTTTTTATTAATGGTTTTAAAAACAGAAACTCGGCTCAGAGAGAAATGTTCAAAAGATAATGTAAAAAAACCGAAAGTATAACACAACACAGAGCAGCATCTTTACACCGAGGGAGGCTGAAAATGTTGATAAAAATCACATCAGAAGGGAAATAAAAATGTAAAAGTGTTCGCAAAAAGCTCCGGGGTCGCTCAGTTTTCCTTAAACACTGAAATGACGGGAGTGTGAGTTGCTTCGAAATCTCTGCAGGGTCAAAAAATACAGAAAAATATTGGATAAAAAGCTGCCGGAAAAAAGCCAAAAGTGAACAAACAGAGCAGCACCGACAGTAGAACCACTTCGGTTCCACTTTAATCTGCCACAGGTTCCTAATCTGAGGGTCGCAGAATCAACACAACACTGAGAAACACAAGCTTTATATGGAGCTCCACCTTTTTCTCATTTCATATTTTTGCACCTTCTTGCACATGTTTGTCGAATTCAAAACCCAAACTGTTTTTTTATGAGGATTCTGCAGCCAAATTCAAATATTTTAGACGTCTTGTGCGTCATTTTATACAAGTTTCAGCCCCACATAGCTGGTACTTCTGGAAACTTTGGGATCTGCATGAGAACGCTTGTAGGTTTGAACACATTTGGAAGGAATGAGGTCGACTGATCTGACAAAGAACACAAATACCAAATAAAAGAGCAATGTCATCATAATGGAGTATCTGGTATTGAAGCTGTCGAGGTTTTAAAATGAACAAAATAAAAGAAAAACACAATCCTGCAATGCAAAATTACATTTTTTAAGTAAACAACCAGAAAATTTTCACTTCAGGCCCCAAAAAGTTGTTTCATTTAAATAAAAATTATCCAAATGAAACAGCTGCTGATGTTTTTTTTTGCTTTACGTGGTCGTATGACGGAAAACAAAGTAAATAACTGGATCATTTTCTCTCCAGGCTCCTAAAAGTAGTTTAAATTGAGTAAATACAAATTAAACAACCGATGATGGGGGAAAAAAATCCAGATATTTTTGTTTTAAAGGCTCATAGGACAGAAAATGTTAAAATGTATTAAATTGACTGGTGTGTTCGGTTCAGGCTGCAGAAATCTGACCCTGGATCAGTAGAAGCAGCAGAGATCTGGACTAAAGTCAGTCAAGAGAGTCCACCGACTCAAAACAAACAAACAGGAGGTGTTTACGAGGGCGTTTCCACCAAACACCTGAAGAGAAACAAACAGAAACACGAGTAAAACACCTGCTGATCACACGGAGAAACAGGATGAAAGAGCAGCGAGGGGAGGCGAAGACGGAGCTCCAGAGATCTGCTGGAGGAGCATGTATTATTCAGCAGCTATGAATCATGGGACGGCGAGCGGAGGCAGATCAGAGAGGAGAAGATGCTGCATTCGCTCCCGCGGGAAATCCAGCCGCTCGGAAGGCAGCGACTCGGAAAGGGTTCACGTGTCGGAAGTGGCTTCTGCACGAGTTCGGGGCTGAGCGGCGGCCGTTTGTCCTGCTGCACTCGAACGCAGCGCGGCGAAGGAGAAACACGAGGCTGCTGATTGCTTTAATCTGACGCCTGATCGATTCCTCATGACTTCATTATCGTATCTGGAGACGACACAGAACTCAGGTTTGGTCTTTCCCGCATATGTGAAGATATATGCAGCAGAAAATTGTATTAAGCTGGCGTTAATTGAGGGTGGTGCTATAATTAAAGTGGCTTTTTAGGCTGTTGAGGTTTTAAAATTAAGTCTCAAAATTAAAGGGGCTGCAAGATTAATATCAGGAAAACATGATCCTGCAGTGCAAAGAGACATTCATTCATTCTCCACATCAGATTCTTGTTCTTTCTACTCAGAAAAGCCACTATTTTATAGCAGAATCATAGCATCACCATAAACACTTTAAAGGTGATTTATTATTTTGTAACGCAGCAAATGCAGGTCAGGGGATACCAAGCAGGATCTCCAGCTAGCACTGAAGCTGGAAATAAAACCAGTTTTTTCGGCAGCAGCTATAAAACTCAAAGATTATTGAAAGACCAAGTGAGCTGGAGGACGTCGTATTTTTTACCAGCAGGTTTTTAGCACCTTGTTGCAAATATTTACTTCATTCAGATGGAGTTTAAATGAGCACATTATGGATGTTGCACATATTATTTTGTGACCTAACAAGCTGGTGTTTGGATTTACAGTCCAGCAAGTCTGAAGTGAACTTTTTTTAAAGGCTAATTTAAAAAAAGCATGAGCTAAAATTAGGTTTGAACATGGATTAGTTTTGATGAAAACCACTGGGATCGACATTTTCCTAACTGCATTAGAAAATGTTGAGTTTACCACCATAAAATGTAATTTAGCTGCATCGTTGCTTGATAATCTACCGAATAATTACTGAAAAACTGAAATAATTTGCGATAAATTATCTGTCAGCTCAACATAGGTGTGCCTGGATACAACAAATATGGTCAAATGTTCACTTCTATGTGCTTTGAAAGTGCTAAATCTCCTGTAGCTTTGGAAAACAGTATTGATGCATTAAAACGCTGAAACATGCAGAAGTGGAGCCGCTCAGAGAGGACTGATAAATATGGGTCACTGTTTACTATCAATACCGGGAATATTCCACTTCAGCACCAGTCCAGCTGCCGTGACTGGTTTCTGTGGACGGCCAGAGCTCAGCCTCATGAGCTGGAATAAGAAAGAAGAGGAAGGCGGTGGTTCAGCAGGTGATTTGGTACAAGACGGTTAAAATGAAACCTCAAGAGCAGCTTTGTTCTTTTCAGGAACAGCAGCCGTAGTCGACGTTGTACAAAGGGCTGCAATTAATGATATTAACGATCATTTTCAGTCATAAAGGAGTTAAAAATGTCCAGCTCAACTTCCCACAAGAGTCTAAAACATCAAGATGACAAAGTTGAAAAGCAACAAATCGTCACAGTGAAGAGATGCGAGCAAATGTTTGCCTTTTAATCTTCTGAGCCCCAAAACTCGCTAGCAGGTTTGAAAGGCACATTACCTTTAAAAAATCTGAATCTGCAACTACATTAAAAGATTTTTCATCAAATCATGTCAGTTAAGTCGGGAAAATGAACCAAATCGAAGCCTAAAATCAGGATATTTTGACAAAATCACTCCAAGCTAAATGTCTCATTTAAAAAAAATCACCAAAAATAAATAGTTTGCTCTAAAGAAATCCTTAAAAATCGTTGCTTATCAACACAACTGTGAAGACGTGACTGACTCAGCAGTGTCCAAAATTCAGAGAGTTTTCAGGTTGAGCTGCTCCACAGAGCAGAGGGGAAATCAAAACATACTGGATCAAGAAAATCAACGCAGCACGGCTCAAAAGCAGCGCATAGAGGGGCGAGTTGTTGGAAGATACATTCAGCACGGGGAAACATCTTCCTACAGCTGAACAATGTTTGTAGAGGCTGTAAAAAATTGCAAACAGTTGAATCTCAAGAGTATGTGGAGCCTCTGTTTAGATTTTCAGTGTTGGTAACAACTGTGAGCATTTGGAAAAATTAAAACTGAACGCAAGAAATTCATTTTTCTTATGATTTTATGATTCTCTCTACTTCTAGTCATTGTTGTGTTTCAATAGAGGTGCAGGACGTTATATTGCAGTGAAAATGCGACAAAAGCAGGAAAAAAAAGCCCAGAAACTGCTTGTTGGGGTTCAGAAGTTAAACAAATTGTTGTTGTCTGTCGATCGATTATTTGATTTTTAACACTTGTACCACCAACAACACTGTGACTAAACGCATGTTGCTGCACATCTGACTGTGGGGGAGTCTGGAGGGAAAACGGCTCATTTTGAGGAAAGAAAAGATGTTTCTGCTGCGTTCGACGGGTGAAACACGACTGGTGAGGTGTGAAATTTGACAACATGAAGAAAAGTCCCAGCAGAGAGGTGAAATGAGAAAGAAAAAGAATAGGATCTGTGGACTACAACTCCCAGATGCATTACTTTTTTATCCAAACAAACGTTTCACTCAGAATCCTGCTGCTAAAAATCCTCACTGAAGCACCAAATGTAGATTAATCTGCTGCTGAAAACCCGTTTCCACCGAGTTTGTTGGTTTAAAATAAAGAAATTACATATTTTTGAGCCACATTTAGATCCCAGAAAACGTTCTCAGTTTGGGTTTTGACTGACTGTTATATTAAAAATACAGAAGAACAGCAGCAGCTTCTCCTTCTGAACACTGCCTGATATGATTCCTGATTTGCCTCGGAGCAGCTCTGCAGTCAAATTTGTCGGAGTTTTGTCTTCACTTTGACGAAAAACGCTTGAATAAAGTTCATAAAAGATGGAGGGGCCTTAAATAGGCTGCCTATTTTTGCACGGTATCCATGGCAACAAGCATCGTCGGCTCCCCTGTCAAAGCAGGAGGCTCTGCAAAGCGCAGAATAACAATAAATAAAATGGATTTTTCTGATTCGTGGTTACTGTTGGGCTTTAAGTGAGAACTCTGCTCATTAAAAATGCAACATGTGTCGTTTCTCGGATGCTCCAGTCGAAGCTCTTGGTGTTTTTAAGAAGAAAGAAAAGTTATGACTTGGACTCAAGGCACACGGACAAGACTGGACCTCGACTTAACAGCCTCTCCGGTAACTTGGAGATACAATAAAACTTCAAACAGCCAGCTGAGGGTGAACAAAGGGCCGACTGGTTACTAGTGTTTTTGATCGTTAGCTTATTGGTCAGCAAATAAACGGAAGGTAGAAGGAAATGTAACCAGACACACAGAAGAAAGAAAGAAATGTGAGAGTTTGAGGTGATGTCGGTGACACAGCGAGCGTCGTGCATCACATATGTAGAGTAACTAAATATGAGGCGGTGAAGGGTTTCTGTACATGTAGTCGACGCTCCGGCAGACGGGAGTGTTTCTGGAGTCTTTATAGCAGAAGCATGTAGTGAGAATCAGGTCAGAAAGTTTGGTTCTCTGATATCCTGAGGCGCCGTTCGAGCCTCCTCACCTGGAAAGTTCTCTTTAACGTGATCTCATGACGGCGTTCATCCCTTTATCCATCATTCCTGCTCTTCAGCTCTTCAGGTTCAGGGATTTCCTCCAGCTGGCGTCCGTCTCCTGACCCCACGCCGCGGTTAGGAGTTAGGAGATTTTGCAGTTGTTGCGGGTGCAGTTCTGCGGCGGACTCTGCGGCGGACGGATGGACTTGGAGCGCTTCAGGCTGTTGCCTTTGGAGCCGCCGGCCGGGTTGGCCAGCGAGTAGGAGCGTCCGTGCATCATGACGGCGTTCATTCCGTTGGCCATGGAGAAGGACTTGAGGTGGGACTTGATGGCGACGGGCAGCGGCAGCTTGTCAATGAGGTGGACCGGCGTGCACGACACGATGGCTCTGCAGCAGAGGTCCTGGAGGCTGAACACTGCAGGGGCCGAGAGGAGGGAACATTAGGATTTATGGACAGAAACACTTAAAAATGACCCTGAACCCTCAGGAGCTTTGACACAAACCTGCAGAAACGTCACCCAAACCAGACAAATTAAAGCCTTTTGTCCAGACACACAAATTTTTAATCAATCTGGTGCCAATTTAACATGTCTTGTTCTGATAAAAACTCAGAATCAAAAGAACCCTAAAGAAATTCTACACAGTTCTAGTAATGTTTTTATCACAAACCCAGTAAGAAGGAAACATTCCCACAATGATCGCAAACATTACCTACTAGTTCTAATAACATAGAATATATCTAACCATCAAAGAACTTTGTAAGTATAGCTAAAATTTCCTACAATGTTCCTATAATATTAAAAACCTTTAGCTGCAACAGTCAGAAGGCGTTTCGAGAACGCTGTCAGGAACACAGATGATGTTCTGTCATAACAAAGGGGGAATTCTGTAGGAAGAAACACATTCCTGATTTTAACGAATGTACATATTTCAAAAAACTTAAATTAATTTAAAGTCCCACATTGTTCCACGGGCTGCAAGGTGGCGCAGTTGGTTAGCACCGTCGCCTCGCAGCTACAACATCCCTGGTACACTTCCCGGTTAGGACTCGCATCTCTGGGTTCTCTGGCTTCCTCCCACAAGGTCCAAAAACATGTTGAGGTTAATTGGTGATTCTAAATTGTCCGTAGGTGTGAATGTGAGTGTGCTTGGTTGTCTGTCTCTAAGTGTAGCCCTGTGATAGACTGGTGACCTGTCCAGGGTGTCCCCTGCCTTCACCCTGAGTCAGCTGGGATAGACTCCAGCCCCCCACGACCCTAGTGAGGATTAAGCGGTGTATAGATGATGGATAGATGGATATTGTTTCCCTTTTGAGTGAATAAATTAAAGACTCTTGAAATCAGAAAAAAATGTGGACTTCCTTTAGGCTTGAGAAACGGTAACGAGCGTCCTCGTATTCTCAGAACTTTTCTTTTACACCTCCAAGTTTCCAGAACATGCAAAACACTAGAAAATAGATTTTCACCATATGGGACCTTGAGAGCTGTTCAGGAAATGATAATGTTGAGTGGATTTACTGAGGAGAGCCCATCTGTTGTGTCACTGCAGATACTTCTCCATTAACCTTGTCGTGCTGTTGTGTGTTTTTCTGCCTCAAAACGTGGAGACAATATAGGAATTAAAAGTGCAAAAATGAGACCAAAATGTAGCAGAGGAAAACTCAACTGCAACTGACAGAGCAAATGTCCTGTTTACAGCCAAAACGATCTCCGGCTGCTTCCAGGGGAATATTTCAGAGCTCGTGCTGCTTATTTAACACATCAAATGAGCACAGAAGAGCCGAGTCTCTGCACATGGAGCTGCTCACTGCTAAGTCTCAGAGGATATGCAGGCCATCACTTCCCACTGCTTTAATCTGTAATTACGCATGAGGGAGACGGACCGATGACAGGAAGGAGAATTAATTAGAGAACGAGAGTCTGGAGAAACGACATCCATCTGGTGACAACTGTGGTCCATTAGCGCTCATTAACAGACCGACTCTCATTTGTTTTCTGCTGCTCAGACTTCACACTGTGCGGTAAAAACCAGTGGTTCTGCTCAGTTTCCACCCACCTCTGTTGGGCCTCCAGAACTTCTCCATGCCGTGCCTCATCAGGACGATGCGCGACAGCTCCGTGAAGGACTCGATGACATTGAAGTTGCACAGCGGGCTCACCTCGAAGAAGGTCATGCCGTTCTTCTCGGCGTACGCCCTCGCCTGCTCGGTGGGAACCTGCCGCTTGAAGGCCAGGTGGAGGCGGTTACCTACGAGGATCCGAGGAACACCTGGGGCATGCTGTGAGGAAAAACACAGGAGAGAAGTTTCAAGTCATTCTGCACAATTTATGAGACATTTTGAAGAAGTTTCAAGACATTTTGGACGGATTTCTAGTTTTTATTGGATAAAGTTTGAGACACTGTTTTTGTCATTTAGTTTCAGAGAAAACTCAAGACATTATGGACAGATTATAATACATTTGAAATAGTTTTTGTTAATTGAGACAAATGCTGACTCACTCTGGAGACGTTTCAAGACATTTTGGATGAGTTTTGAGTTATTTTTGCAAGTGTTTATCATTTTGAAAACATTTTTGGAAATTTTGGAGAGACTTCAAAACATCTTGGACCAATTTTTTTTATCATTTTGGACAAACTATGAGCCATCATAGACAAGTTTTTATCATTTTGCACAATTGTTGACTCATTTTGTCGAGTCAAACACAGATAAAGAATTTTCTTTGGGATAATATGGGCACATTATTTATTTTCAGACCCTTAAATATCAATGTGTGAAATAAAAGTGCTGAAAGAGGGCTGGCAGGCTGTTCATCTACGAAAATGAAATAATAAAATTCCACACATTTCACACACAACTTCTTTATAAACATCAATATTTAATGCTATAAAAATTTCAGGCAAAGCAAAGTCCAGCTGGAACTGTTCTAAAAACAGCAAGATTTAAGATAGAATTAACTCACTGGTTAATTTCACAACTTCAAGTGTCAAATAAAATGTTCTGGGAGGGAAAAACAAGGTTTGGAGTTGCTGGAATCACTTATTCCCAGACAAGCCGTATTCAGCTGATTAAATGCATCAGACATTAATACAAAGTGACCAGCGGAGGTTTGTTATTAATTCAACACGCTGGCGGCGGCAGGTCTCTCTAAATCATCCCCATCTGTTCTGACAAACTGAATGAAACATGAAGGCAGCGAGAGGCCGACCTCCTCCTGACTGTCACCACTCATCAGCCTCTCCACAGAGTCCTCCTGTTGCCTTTTCATGCTCTGAGCCTCCGCTGAGGTCGGCCGCAGACACTGAAGGTTTCCACAGATGTCAGGATTTGTACTGTGCAAGTGGGCAGTTCAATGGTTGGAGTCAAGATGCACAATAAGTCTGGAAAAAAAGCCGTTTTACAGACTTATCAATACTCTGTATTTGTATTATTGAGACCTGGACTCACACTTCTGAACAAACTGACACCCGGCAAACACTCATAGATGAGATAAATATTACAATAAAATCTACAGATAAGGGCTGTCGTCTCCTGGTTGTTATTGATTCTTATTGGTCAGACAATCATGGCAACCATGTTTTTATAACTCTGAACTGCCTGAACCTAAAAGATACTACTCAGTCTAACTTATTCAACCGTCTGAACCCCAAAACCTGAACTGAAGGGCAGGTTATCTTTACAAAAACATCCAAAATTGAAGCATCTGTCACAGCCAAAAAATGAAAAAACAAGAAGAATCGACAGTCCTTGGACTACTCATCTCCAACTCTGAGCTTAAAACCCCAATATTTCATCAAAAATAACTTGATTCTACATGTCTCATTTAAAAATTCACCAAAAACACATCTGTACAAACCAGATTCGGTAAAAAGCAAAAGATTCTACACTTCTCGGCCCAACTGTGAATCCATTAGTGACTCACCTCTGCCAACAACAGTCACGTGATGATGATTTTTCTGTCTATCTATGATTTTAGGCATTCTTGCTGCTACTGTGTGTCAGCAGGAGGACGATTTAAATAAATCCTTGCAGCTGCCACCCAACTGACATTTTTTATTTTTTTCTTATTATATGTAATTATATTAATATATTAATCATATAACTGCTTGTAAAGTGTATCACCAATTACTTAGATTTTTAGTAAATATTCAAGTACAAATGCAAAAGCAAATACGATAAATTAAGATTTCATTTTTTGGGTCATTATGATTTCAGGCATTCTTGCTGCTCCTGTGTGTAGGCAGAATGAGTGCTTAAATAAATCCTTGCAACCATCAACCAGCAGCAGGATTTGTTAGTTTTAATATTCAGTTATTCAAAGGTAACAGAGCGCTAACTCATTTGCAGGAACATATGAGGGCATTTTTCACTATTTTCTGACATTTTATAGCCTAAATGATTTAAATGACCGAGCAAAGAACGAATCAACGGACAAATGGAGCGCATACGGATGAAAATAATCCGTAGCCGTGCGCAGAGAAGCACATGAGAGTAAAACTGTTATCAGTGCAGCAATAATAGCTGCTGATTATCTTCTACTCTACACGCTGTTTATCTTTCATCATCCACAGATTTCATCTCCGCTGCGTTTATGTGGCCGGTCGTGGCAACTCTGTGGAGGTGGAGCAGGAAAAGACCAAACTGGAACACACATTCCACAGGCCAAAAATACCACCAAACACACAACACACACACACACACACACACACACACATATATATACAGACACACAGACACACACTGACAAGGCGGACATCCTCTGAGTTTCCAAGTTTGCAGGAAGGACGTGAAGCAGCTCAGGCTCAGGTTAAGGGATTCACTGCTGCAGTTTAAAATCATATATATGAGAGAGATTTTCCAATTGCTCAAGTCGCCGGAATAGTTCAGTGATTCCTGCAGGATGGACGGAAGAAACAGCGGGAATTTGCAGAAACAAAATATGATTCAGCACAAAATAATGAAGACAAAATCAGAGCAACAAAACAAAACCTGCTTGACTGAAAATGCAGGAAATTGGATGAGACAGAAAATAAATTCTCAAGCGAAAATACAGAAATTAGAAATTAAGATTCAAGGTTTTTGCATTTTTTATAAAACAAAATGAATTAATTTTAATTTATTTTTTAAAGCAGAATGTTTATTTCTCATGTTTACTTTTGCATTTTTGCTTGAAAATGTATCACCAACTATTCAGATTTTCAGGTAATTACTAAGTCAAATTTCAAACAAAAATGTGGAAGTAAACACTATAAATTGGGATTCCAGGATGATTTCTGGAATTATAATTAACTTTGCTCGCATCACTCATATACACCGAGGTAGACAGATACTGAGTGCACAAGAATAGTGTAATATCCGTTCTTCTACACAAATATGTAGAACATTTAGAAATCATGTGGCAGTTTAAAATACTGATTTTTCAACGTCATCAGTTATGCCAACTATTTTTGGCAGCTCCAGAGCTTTTTGAACTGGAAATTTTACAAATAGATAACTGGAAAAAACAAAAACAAATCAGCAAATGGGCATCATGTGTCACCTTTAAGTGGAACGGCATCTAAATAATCCACTATTCTGACTTTGCTAAAACAGAATCTGGACTTTGGTTACGTCTCGTACTCGCATCTCCTTTCAAATGATGATATCTGGCTGAGCTCAAGGCTGAAAGATGAAGTCGGCACCGTGGGCCTATGACTTGAGAAAATGTACTTCATTACTGAATCTGTAAGCTCTTCTGTAATGTTATTTAAACACTGAACAGTTTGTTGCACAGATGCATAATAGTTTCTAGAAAAACAGCAGCTTCTTTTGTGGCCGGCTACTTCATTTCCAGTCAGATAAGCTTTGTATTTAACTTACAGACACAAAGGAACTCTTTGCACATCTGTTTCATGAGCTCAGCATATCCAGAAGTTTCATAAAGACTCCCATACAATGTCTGAATTGCAGAAAATACATTTATTCTTAATACTGTGGTGCTGCACATTTATTGTTGCTAAAATCCTGTGTGGGAGTGTTTTCCCGATAGGTTAAAGACTCATTTTACTAACAAAAACTGCAGAGCTCCTGGAAATAATGTAGTTTTTTGATCACAGCAGGACGTATTGGAAAGTCTTTGGCTGCATGTTCAGTATTTTTTATGCTGTGAGAAAAGAGCTCCAAGTGCTTTCAAACCTTGGATATTTTTTATACAGAGAATAATTCATTATGTTGTGGTTGGTGGTGCCTTTCACTCACCTCATCGATCTCTCTGATCCACCTGTCGATGCCGTCGAAGGACCACCGGTTAGTGATGTCATAAACCAGCAGGATCCCCTGAAACACACAAACACGCACTTTGTGAGTTCTATGAGTCACGCAGGTTTACTTAATGCAGAATAGAGTTTATGTTTGTTCCTCACCTGAGCGCCGCGGGAATACGAGCGAAATATGGTGCAGAACCTCCCCTGTCCTGAAGTGTCCCTGAGGAGGAGGAAGAGCGACACTCAGCTCACACGGAAAATCTTTTCTTTCAGCCAACAAGACAAACCACTAACCCGACTTTTTATTTTTTAATCAAAAAACTCCTTATTTAGTTTCAGCAGAGGCAGCGGTGATCAAATTTTCATGCAAACTGAGCAACACGAGGCCAAAGCTGAGGCGGAAACGTGCAGTGACTTCTTCTGTTTGTGCTTCATAAACTAAATAAACGAAATATAGTCAAAGTGCTGCATGTTGATCGGCTCCAGCTGACGACCTTCTTTCCTCTCACAAGACGACTTATAAAATCCTGCTGTATTCATCTGACTCATGCCTCGACACGACAAACTCAGGCTACATGTGGTGAGAATTAACCTCGGGGAGTGTTTGGATAAACAGCCATTTAAAACAGGTGTTAACACATAAAAAAAATATGAAACTTGACTCTCCAGTTTCACAGCCTGTTTAATATCACAGATTTATTTACAAAACTCTCCTTAAAGAAATCTGGCGAGCAGCTGCCACCATTTTCCAGCACGAACACTAAAAGTAGCAGCAGCCCTGTGAACTGTGTGTTTATCCACAGAAAAGGATCGTCTGTTGTGCAGCGAATGAGAAATAATTAAAGAAATGCTTTTGCTTCTTGAGGCAGGTGCAGTTCTGGCTTTGCTGAATAGAACTCACGGGTCAATAACTGCTTACTGCTGCAATAACTGCTTTTAATAAAGGATTTGTGTCAAATTTGGTAGCGAGAACGGAGGAAATTCAATGATGGGAAGCAGAGTTTATGCTTCCATTGGTGCTAAAGCGAAAAGAATCAATATCTTAACATCAAATGTAGCAGAACTAGAGCCTAGAAAGTCTGTAAGTCATACTCTGTCCTTTTATTTATCTATCTTCTTCAGTTTGTTCATGAATTCCATGTTTTAGTCTGAGCTCAAAGTTCCTCACTGGAACAAGGGAACAGCTAAATAGATTGTTTTACACATCAGGTGGGAAGAAAACGAATATTTTTTAATCACAGTGGCCCGATGATCGACATGCACTCACACAAATACAACCATGTCGAGTTTTAACCGTGGCAGCAGTCTGGAGCTCTGCAGTATAATCAGGATTTTTACAAATATGAATAAAAATATTGCACCAGATGGTGAAATAGCCCCTCTTCTCATTTCCTCTATTCCGTTTAACACCTGAGACACGAGGAGAGAGGAGTCAAGGCTACGGACATTTAACAAGACAAGAAAAGTAATTAAATATAGCTTGTAAATATGACTTGTTGGAAGTATGTAGGAGGTAGGAATAAACCGGTCATCCAATACAGGAAACAACAACAACCTGTGAACTACCACACCGACAATGTAAAGTTTTGCCGAAGATTTGAATCGTGCATTAAGACAGATTATCTACGCTAATGACGGTGTTTGTCTTCCTGCATGCTAATGTTCCACCAAAACAAATTCCTCCTTTAAATATTTCGAGGGAAAACCAAAGCGAAGTCCTTCGCTCAACTCCCCAAATGCTAATGAAGTGCAGCCAGACCTTAATGTGCCGCAGAATGAGCTGGATAAGTGAGACGATTCTCCTTGAGGTGCATTTTAAGAACTGAGACATGCTTGAAGATGGCGCTGAGATCGATTTCCAGGTCATAGACAGGAGGACGGAGGCCCAGAATAGAGAAGGGCACTCGGAGAGCTCAACTTCCACCCTGTCTTGCAATTTCAACCAAAGTGATGCAGACCTCCACCGAACCTGTGCACATGCTCCACCTCCCCACCAGGCTTCATTAAAGCTGGCAGCTTTTGAGTAATCTTAGACTAAAAAAAAAAAGCATTAAAGAACTGTGAAAAACCTCCATGTGTAACAGCTCCTCTACTGTCTGTGGTCATTCTAAGAGCTTCAGCTGAAGGCAACTGGACTTCTTTACCTCTTAAGACTTTTTGTTCTTAAAAGACACTTTATCCCTCTGTGGAGATTGTATTGTTCTAAGCGACGAAGAGGACGATCATGGCGTTGTGTTAATGAAATGCATCAAGTGTAGCTGCAAGTCCCATATTTGTTCTTTTTACTTTAATTATGTCATTACAGCTGCCCTCACAAAGTACGAACTGTTGAATGCAGAATGCAGATAATTTGGACTGAATCCTAACATTGCACCTTAAACTTTACCAATCAGCTGCACTTGTCTCTTGTTTATATCTGTGTAAGACATTGCGACATGTGTAACTTTGCAGAGCATTGTGGGTCTGTGTCTGTGAACAGGACTCAGCCGTCCACCTGCATCTCAAGGACAAAGGACACTCTTTTGAAGACAATAACGTACAGATTTTGGCCTGCAGGGAGGACAGATGGTTTGAGAGAGGGGTGAAAGAAGCCATCCATGTCAAACTGGAAAGACCATCCCTCAACAGAGGTGGAGGTCTGAGGCATCACCTCTCACCTGTTTACAACTCAGTCCTAAGAACTCTCCCCAGGAAGATGAAACCACATTCACACCCTGCCACAAAAGACCCTATCGAACCTCACTGTGTTAGAGGGAGCACTAACGACTCACATAATGAGAGGGAGGAGCAACAAACCCCCAAATGAAACCGAAACTCAAGTGTTAATGGCTCCTTAAGGTTATAAGTATCTGGAACTCCCAACTAGTCAGTCAGAACTGATGAAGCCTCTTGGATGAGAGGTGAAACGTCTTCAAGGAACTCAAGCAAGTCCAGTTGCTCAATAATCTACCAGAATTGTGGGTCTACGTTTAACATACAATGTACAGAGACAAACTATATAGCATGGAAATATGCATATCAAAACAGCGTCTTTATTACCAGCTACCAAATTTCTGGACATCTCAAGCACTGACGATAAACATCGACAACTTATTTCCATCTAATCTTCCAACTCTTTTTAAGGTATTAGCTCAAAAACAGAACATTTTAGAGAAACACAACACACCTGCAGGATCCAACTGGTGACTAAACCCACAATGTGTTAAGTTTGTCTCTCTCCTCTCTGTGTCTTATCTTTAAAAATGGGTCACAAGACAGTTTAATTAAAACAACGTCTCATAGTTTACTGACTGGCAAACAGGAGGACATTTGTTGGGGACTATTTTTGGAGGTGGATTAATCCGTATTTCTTGGGAGTATTTGTAGCTGCAGGACAGTGTTTAGTAGGTGGGACTGAGTGAAAATAAACCCATCATGAGATTTGGTGACACTAATAAATCCAGAGTGATGCTTTAAGTTTCTGCAGAGGAGTCAGAGTCATGAGGCAGAAATGGAAACGAAGCAAAGGACGAGGAAAAGATGATACAAAGATGGTAAAATAACACCGAGGAGAAGACTGAGGCAGCAAAAATAAAGAGGATCCTGCATCATACGGGGAAGTCGAGGCGTCGGTTCTCCCCCGAGGAGCTGAATTCTTTGGCCTACTTCCACCGAACAGGCCTTGCCTCGTACTGCAGCGTCTTAACTGACAACTAACACATCTGCTGCTGCTGCATCTCTACTGATGCAACGTTATTTATCAGACAGGAAACAATGTGTAGCAGACAAAGAGCTGAGGGCATGCACCTTGCAGCTGCATATACACTGTAAAAAGAAAAAAGAGGAACCTTTCTTTAACTGTAATTGTTTTCATTTTACTGTTATTTTGCATGTTTTCAGAAAAACTGTAAATAATGTCCACTTCAAAAAAAAATCTGTATTTTTGCAAATAGTAATTTGTGCTTTTACAATTTTTACAGTATTTAAATGAGCTATAAAATAACATTACTTTTATAGATATTAGCTGCTATTTAAAAGAACAATTATGTACATCAAGGGTTGAAAAGTTGTAAATAATTTTTTTAACTAGCAAGTTTTGTGAAATTTCAGATATTATTTAGCATAAAGACAGAATTCCAGTTTTTACTTGATCTAAATCTGCTAAAAATACAATAATTTTCCAGATAATTGTATTTGAAAAAATAAAGTATATTAATGATTAAAAACGTACAATAATTTTTTTAAACTGGTATTTTTTTCTGTTTTTTTTAAGTAACAAATACATGAGTTTGTCTCCCAAATGCAGGATTTTACACCTTAATC